GGGTTGGTTGTTATTACAGAATAATGATTAGACTTGTTCTGAGATTTTAGCTTGGTAGGAAAAAAAGCTTTGTAGGAATTAGACCTGTCCCAGAAAAATTATTATGGAACTAATTTGCCTGATCTTTGATAATTGTTAGAAACAAGTGAACCACTTATTGGAGATGATGCAGAAGGAAATCTGTTTATGATCTGGAAGGTTGGACTACCCACATAGAATTAGAGAGGACTTGAATTGTCATCTAGTTCAAACTCTATACAAGTCATGATTTCATTCTTTGACTTTGTTTGATGACCTCTAGTGAGAGCTCTTAGCCTTTTCTAGCATGTAGCCTCCTATAGTCTACATATGCCTTCTAGGGCCAATTAGAATAATTCTAATCATACATTTGAAGATGGTGATGATAATTGTGTGGTACAAAGCACTTTCCTTACAAAAATTCTGTGAAGTAATTAACGGAAGTGGCTTTTCCCCTCCATTTTACTCTCCACTAGTGGTTTTGCCTTGTATTTCCTTGTGTGTTCTCTTCAACATTCTTATTAGTGACTTGCAGAAACGCATACAAATCACCTGTCTAACAATGGTGGGGCCGAGTTATAACTAGACAATAGGCCGTGTAGACTTCAGAATCAATGTGAGTCAACAGTATGACGTGGCAGTTAAAAGTGCTAATATGGTCTTTGGATGTATGAACTCATTGCTGCGCTGTAGTTCATCTACCAAACTACAACCTAGCTATACCTTGCTTGTTTTCCATTTTTCTCATAAATCTTCTGTAGGAGGAGGGAGTAGGAAAAAGGATAAAAGATTTCCGGTGACGTGACAACTGTCTTCAAGTGTAAAAAGGACTGCCGTGTGAAAGGAGGGATTAGATTTGTTCTCCCTTTGTCTTAGATAGCTGAATTAGGAGCAATGGATGGAAGTTTCAGCAGCAAGTTTGGGCATATAAAGAAAAACTGTACAATTTGAGCTGTCCAAAAGTGTTATGAACTGCCTCAGTGGATGAATGGATTCCTCATCATTCAAGGTCTTTAAGTGGAAGCATCATGAACAGTTGATGAGGATTCCTTCTCAGGTATAGGTTGGACTAGATGACCTCTGAATTTCTGTCTATCTCTGAGATTCTGTGTTACAAATGAAGCTAGTAAGTATTGCTGTTCTCCTTTTTACCAAAGCTCTTTTAGTCTAACCATCTCCATTTCACATCTCTTCTCTTCCCCAGTTTAAATATCCCAACTTTTGCCCATCTTATCTGTTATGGTATTTTCTGGCTCTGTCACCATCCTTACTGGTAAGAGATGTGGTCTTGTATATGATCCAGGTTGTCCACATGCTTTCTAAAATGTACCTAGAACTAATCACAGTAATCCAGGTGTGGGGATCCTTCCTAGGGAAGAAGTATAGTAAGCCTATCAACTTCATTTTCAAAAAGTATGGAACAGAACGGGATCAAGGGCAGATCACTGGGGCAAACTACTAGACACTTCCCTCCAAGTTGATGTTATTTTGCCTGTATCTCTCCATTTATTGATATAGACATCATGAGCTTTTTTTTTTATCATATACTTTGCTGACATCAAGATATACTTAAACAGCTCGTTCAAGTTTTTAGTGAATAATTTTTCTGAAAGCTCATAAACAATGTCTTAAATAATACATGTGAGAATTTAACTAGGTTATTAGTCGAGATTACTGGTCTGTAGTTTAAAGATTGTACCTTATTTCTTTAAAAAGAATCAGACTTTTCCTATCATCATCTCAGACATAAAGTGGTCTAGTCCAGCTATACCAAGATAAGAATTCCATCTGTTACAGCATCTTATCTTGCATTCTTTGCTTGAAAATGTCTGATGAGGAGGAGGAACAATATGTCCTGAAGGAATACGTTCCATTGCTGGATAAAGATTAAAAATAATTTTTAGAGGGCAGCTAGGTGGCGCAGTGGATAGAGCACCGGCCCTGAAGTCAGGAGGACCTGAGTTCAAATCCGGCCTCAGACCATACACTTGACACTTACTAGCTGTGTAACCCTGGGCAAGTCACTTAACCCCAATTGCCTAAAAAAAAACAAACAAACAAAAAATAATTTTTAGGAAGTTTTGTTTTTTTTCACAGATATCAAGCCAATAGACCTCTCTATAAAACATCTATTGTTTTTGGTTTTCTCCTTTAAAGTCAAATCTAATTCTTCTTCCATGTGACCACACTTCCTGTACTTAAAGATAGCTATTATTCCTTAACCCACATCTTTCCTTCTTTAGTTCCTTCAGCTGATTCAGGGTATGATCCAAGGCCCTTCTATATCCTGGTCACAATAATGAACTGGGTCTAACTTATCAATATCCTTCCTAAAAATACAGTACCTAGAACTGAACATATAGTACTACAAGGTAGAGTACAGTGGTATTATTGCCTCAGTGCATTAGCCTTAGCACAGTGCCTTCACATAGTAGGCCCTTAATAAATGCTTGTTGATTTGATTGGGAAATTACATTAGCTTTTGTTTTTGTTTTTGTTTTTTTTTGTTACTGTAATCACACTGCTGGTCTTAAATTGAGATTATAATGCATTTAAACCCTAGGTCTTGTTAACATGAATTGCTCTGTAGCCTTTCTTTTGTTTAAGTTGATTTTAAAAATTTAATTATAAGCCTACATTTGTAATAATGACTGACATTTTTATAGCACTTTAAGGTTTCAAAGTATTTTATATAGATTATCTCATTTGTACCTCACAACACACCCTGTAAGTTTGGTACTACAGGTATTATCTCTATTTTGCAGACGAGGAAACTGAGGCTCAGAGAGGTTAATTGACTTGTCCATGGTCACACAGCTGGTAAGTGTCAGAGGAAGGATTTGAACCTAGGTCTTTCTGGAGTCAGGCTCTAGAACTGTATCTGCTACTTTCTCTAATTCATTCTCATTAAATTTCAATTTAATTTTGACCCAGTATTCTAACCTGTGAGATAATTTTTCAATCCTGATTTACAGGTTATGTACTTATGTCTTATGTGTTAGCTGTCTCTGTTTTATGATTTACAAATTTGATAAGTATGCCACTCTATGTTTATTAAAATCATTGTGTAAGGTTCTGTGTGTGAGAAAATGATTATCAATGCAGATTGACAATTCATCTGTAGTTTATAGTCTTAGAGAATAAGTATCCTGGGTTGCTGAGAAGTTAACTGGCTTGCCTCATGTCACACAGCCAGTGTGTTGCGGTAGGATTTAGGAAGACCTAGGCTCAAGGATAGCCCTCTGCCCACGGTGGCCTGGTGCCTCATTACATCACTGATAAATATTACATAGCCTAGGGCCAAGGATACATCCCTGGTATTCTCCACTAGAGGCTTTCTTATTCTAAAGTGACATTGAATCATTAACTACTCTTTGGTTTGGTGGTGGTCATAAAATGTCATCTCGAAGGAGTGCTCGAGTTCCATCTTGTTCAGTTCTATTTTGTAGATGTAAAAATGGAGCATTATAGAAGGGAAGGGACTTGTTCCAGGATCACATGACTGACTAAGAAGTGTGATTTGAACCAGGTATTCCTGTCCCTTGCTAGCCCAGAACTTTTCTTTTGCTCCATTTTCAGTTCCCTTTACCCCACAGTTTCCTTCCTTTTTTAGCAGCCTCTTTTTACTCAAGCTGCCTTTATTCCTTCTCTCTGGGATTTTTTTTCTCTAGTCTTATCTTGTCCAGGCCTTGTTCTGCTGTTCCCACTTTGCTTTCACTCTTGCTACCTTTCTCTCCTTTTCCTCATCAACTTGGGTGCCTTCTGATGTTGCTTCACAATGCTGAGGTGCAGCCACTTCAGCTCCAGGGGCAGCCTCCAGCTCAGGTCTGATATAGTGACCGCTCACCAGCAGCACTGTCACGACTTTGGAAATAAGGTAGACATTGATCTTACAGCTATGCTGATCAATGATTCACTTAAAATTTCTTGTCAGTGAGATGATGTTTGCGCTATCTAACTTAAATGGCTTCAGAGGTCACTTGTATGCAGATGACTCTTACCTATCCCCAGTCTCTCCCACCACACATTACTAGCTGCCTTCTTCTATCTGGATGCCTCCTAACATGTCAAACTTGACAGGATGAAAATAAAACTCAGTGGTGGTGCATAAGCTTGAATTATAATCATTATAATCTTCTCATTTCCTGTATCAAATCAGTTTCCAAGTTCTAGCAATTCTAACTCTCCAATATAGATGATTCTGTTCCTTTTCCTCTCTCACTTCATCACTGTTTCAAACCATTATTTCTCTCTTAGACTATTACTAGCTTCCTAACTGGTCTCCATGCTTTAAATCTCTCACCCTTCTTCACAAAGCTGCCAAAATAATCTTCTACAACTCTGACCACTAAAAGTAAGGAAGCTGAGACCTAGTGAGGTCAAGGGACTTGAACAAGGGCACATAACTTGCAATTGATGGAGTTGGGATCAGAACCCAATCTATTCCATTATGTACCTCACTGCCTTGTCATTGACTACTATTGTGTCCCCATGGTGCCTACTAGCCCGTGGCCTCTTCTCCTTGCTTCAGGGGGCACCAGTGGTGGCCATTACCCCAAATCCTTCATACCATACATAGCCTTTGTGTCCTAGAATTTTACTGTTGGAAAGGACCTTAAAAAGCAACCAGTCAGGTCATTCCCTGGCATGTAGACGGAAGAAACTGAAAGCATAAGCCTCAAGGACAGGAGGTTGTAGCAATTCAAATGTAGGTCAGCTGCTGAACAAGAATCTTGTAGGGTGGGAATGATAGGGCATGGCCCAGTACGTAATAGGTATGCAGATATTTTGATTTGGATTTTCATAACTAGTAGAAAAGCAGAGAGAAGCCTGTGATAGAATTACGTATGGGACGATACAGTCACTTGGAACCCGAGGTATGGCATTTGGGTGGGGAAGAGCACATGGAGCTATGAGGCCCAGCTCTTTAGTCTGATTCCCAAATAACCATTCTCAGTGTTAAATGCTTTTCCTCCTGGCAGGTACTACCTGTCCTGTGTCATAGGTGGCAGTTGCCCACCATATTCAGCCATGCGTCCGCTGGTGTTCCTGTGTGCCCAGCAGGTGATCAAGGATGAGGAATCTGCGTGCCAGGCCTTGGAGCTTCTGCCACAGGACCTGTACCCAGTCCTATTCAAGGCAGCCTTCATGCATGGGAAGACGCTGTTGCTCCAGGCTTTGGTGCATACATGGCCCTATCCCATCCTCAGTTTCAAGCAATTACTGCAGGATCGGCCACACTGCCGCAGGGCTCTGAGGCAGGACTGGCCACACTGCCTTCGGGCCCTCCTCCAGGAGTGTCCAAACTGCCCCCGTGCCCTGCTTCAGGACCGGCCTGCAGAGGAGCTGGTGCAGGCCATGATCATGGGAGTCAAGGCTCGGCTGGAGGAGGCAACAGATAATGGAACCCAGCAGTCCCTCTACAGGTAAATACTTAGTTGCGCTCACCCAAGGTAGGGGGTAGATATGGCTGGGGAGGCAGTCAGGACCTCAGCTTCCAGGAGGGAGTCTTTTTAGAACCCATAGTAGCCTTGGAAACAGCAGCAGAAGGGAAGAATCCTGGCAACACCATTTATTATTGAGTACTGGCCCTTCAGAGACCAGGGCCAGGGCCAGGGCCTTGTTAAAGGACACAGCCATACACATTTGCTAAAGTAGCAGATGTTCTAAGCCAGGAAAAAGATAGAGGCTACCTGGCATCTTTGTTACACCACTATGATCCATGGGCCTCGGGCAAGGAGCTTGAGGACGAGTTCCTTTAAGAGCTGCCTGGGATTTGTTAGAAAGTGCCTCTCCGGAGAATCATCATTGAGAAGTAGACCCCCTCTATGTATTTTTAGGCTAACCTGTGACCCTGGAACCACACTAGTGGTACCTAAAGACCCAGCCCAGGCTATAACTTGTGCTGTGCTAGCCAAGCACTGTGGCCCATTATTATGGGCTGTATTGGTGGAACATCTTAGTGTACTTCCTGTGAGATACAAGAGAGGGGAGACATTAATGGGCAGAGCATCCACTCTGGTCAGACTCCATTATGTTAATGTCTTAGCCAAGGGCATTGACAAACCGGAACTTAGCCAGAGCAAGTACAGGTAGGACAGTGTGGCAGGGTGGATGCCATTCCTTATGAGATTTGCTGAGAGTACTCAAGATGTGTAGCCTGAAGAGAAGACCTGAGAAGACGTGGTGACTCTTTTCAAATATTTAAAGGGCTGTTGGGTGAAAGAGGAATGAGACTTGTTCTAGATTTAACCAGAACAGTGGATGTCAGTTGCAGAGAAGCAGACTTTAACTTGATGGATGGCTTACCTGATGGTTAGCTCTCCAAAACTGGACTAGTGGCTGCTCCTTCACTGGAGGTTTTGTCCTTACCTCAGTAGTTGGGTGGCTTTGATTTTAGCAAACACTTGACACTATTATGGATTCATTTACTTATGGTGTTGGCTTATATCATCTGTTCTATTTCTATTTTTTAACCAAATTTTAATGGTTACTACTTTATTAGTAAATTTAAGATCTGGTAATTCTAGGCCCCACAGATAGTCTTTGAGCAGTGACTGAATTAATCACTTTTTGGGCATATTGTTGAGATTCTTTAGGCACAGGTTGGACTATATGTATAGACTTCTGAGATTCCTTTGAATTGTGGCGTTCTGTGGTCCTATTTTAAGCTTTCCACTCCCTTTTTCTCTTCTACTTTATCACAGCCTCATTTAGTTCTTATATTTAATTATTTCAGGTATATGTTGGGTAAGTTGGGATGAGATTGTCAAGATATGGGGTGCATTCTAGCCCAGGGTCTCACCTTCTCTGTCCTTCCCTCAGGAGGCATCCACTGCAGCTATTAGATATGACTGGACTCCTGGATTATGGCTATGAGGAAGACCTAAAAACTATGAAAATGTGGGCCCGTACCATGACCATGGCCCAAACTGGCATTTGCCACCTCTTGGAGAAAGTTGAGCAGCCAAATGAAAGCCCCAACAAGTGCAGGAAGGTCGAGGACCTGCCATGCACACTTCTCCCTGTGGAAGTGCGTGTAGATCTCTGGGTGACCCCCTCCTCCAGTGGCTTTTTAAAGCAGGCCCTGCAGAATAATGCTGTCAGCCCCCTGCGCTTGTGCTGCCGGGATTTCCGAGCTGAAGACCTTCCACCAGACATCACTGTGGATCTCCTGGGGCTATTGGACCACTCAAGCTTACGCCGACTAGATCTGTCCTTCTTTACTCTGGAAGCCGGGGGTGTGTGGGAGATCGTAGCTTCCATCATGAAGTTCACTAATCTGCTGAGCTTGAAACTTCAGTACAGCAACATGGATGTGTGGCGGCTCTGGGCCATGTTGGAAGGCACCTTCAGCTTCTTGGCTTCAGAGATGAGTAAGCTGAAACGCCTCAAGGAGCTTAATCTGGGCACCTCGTGGCTCTCGGGCCAGCTTCGGCAGCTGCTTAGGTGAGTGAGCCTCTTGTTCATGTACCTGCCCTGAAAGGCAGCTCCAGGGCTTCCTAATGGGAACTGTTCAGCTTGAGAGAAATATATTCTCAAATATTTGTCTCAGGGCCCCCTTCCTTTTCTTTCCTGAAATCTCAATTCCTTGGTTGTTTTTACAAACATGTTAAAGTGGAAGGACTGCTGGAGACCTGCTTTCAAATCCTTGTGCCAGAACTTCAGACTGTTCAACTTTGGGCAACTGGTAACCTTAGAGCTCCAGTTTCCTGGGTAAAGTGGAGAGCATGGTCCTTGCTACTCTAGCTCCCCGCCTGAGCCAGTGTGAGGAAAGCTCTCTGTAAACAGTGAAAATACTGGTAGCATGGGAGTGGTTGATTGTCATTATGCAGAGAACTTTGTGCCTTAAAGCTTTGTAGCTTCTCTCCTGTATGTGCTTTTCCAAATCACTATGACCTTGGGCAAAACTTGCCCCTCTCACTTGAGGAAAAAGCTGCCTGGCCAGCTGGTGTCTAGGAACAAGCCCCAAGAAGTTAAAGCACCATCCCAGCTTCCTCATGTTTGTTCTCTTTTCCCTGGGAAGTAATAGCATTTCTGTGTCTCTCTTTGCAGTGGCCTACAGTGTCCCCTGGAAAGCCTGGAACTTCCTGTCTGCTACCTGCTGCCTGTGGACTTGAGCTACTTGTCCCAGAGTCCACATGCTCCCCACCTCAAGAAGCTAGACCTCAGTGGCAACAACCTGTCAGGTGATCTCTTGCCCCCCTTCCAGGCTCTTTTAGGGGAGGCCTCAGCCTCCTTGCTGTGTCTGAAGGTGACAGAGTGCCAGCTCATGGATGTTCACCTTATTAGTACCCTGCCACTTCTGTCCCGCTGTACCCGCCTACGCTATCTTGGTCTCTATGACAATCCCCTTTCTAGCATTGGGCTGAAGGCCTTGCTGTCTCGCTCTGAGGTAATGCCTGACCTCCAGCTGGTAGTGTACCCATTTCCTGTGGACTGCTACAAGGACCTGCCTGGTGTGCCCCTTTCTGCAAACCTCTTGGAGGACTATATTGATGAGGAGAAATTTGCTCAGGTTCAGGGAGAGATGCATCAGATGTTAATAGCAGCAGGTAGGGCTGATGTGCTGTGGACCACAGATGTCTATGGCCCAAACATGCCCGACTACTTTAGCTTGTGACAGGAAGGCTGCCTGCCAGGGACAGGGAGGCCCTTGCAGTCATCCATTCCCCCTGGGCCTGGCAGGAGAGCCTCCTCACCTTCTGGGCTGCATGTCTTGGGGATAGGTAGGGAGCCACAAAGCCTTTGCTCTCATTGCCTGCCATCTTCAGACAAGGGAATGGGGCTAACTAACAGGGAAGCTCCAACCTGTGCCTCACCTGAAGGGTCCTTGATAAGAATAACAAGTGTGAATGAGGAACTCTTAGCCAGTGGAGTAGGCCCAGTATTCTGGCACCCCATTCAGTCAGTGAATTGTTCCTGTGGGAAGGGCATAGTTCTTTCTGTCTTCCCCAGTGAGTGAAGGGAATTGGGTTCATTACTGAGGAATGGGAGGTCGTATGCCAAGCTTCAGCCCCAGAGCTTCTGAGTTATAGATCACTGATCTGGAGTCTCGAAAGCTCTCAAGATTAAGCCGTAGCCTTTCCCTTTCCATCCCACCTTTTGGAATGGACAGCTACTGCTGTGAACTTCTCTTCTGCCAGGCTAAGGATGCCCACTTAGTTTCTCATGTCTTCTCCTAGGTTCCTGGTTTCCTTTCTCCAAGAGTCTCCCTCCAATTTCTTTTTTTTTTTCTTTTAAACTTCTACCTCATCCCGGGAAGGGTTTGAGCTTAGGCAGGTGCTAGCCCTTTCTCAGCTGCATCAGCCTTAGCTACTCCTTAGTCTCACCCTTCAGTGGCATGAAGAAAGAGGCAGTGGAAAAGGGCAGCCTGTGGGATTCTTCCCTGGACCTTAGGCCTGGTTTTTCTTCCGCTTCCCCAGGGCTCAAGTTGCTCTTTGAACTTTATTCTGGGTGGTTCTGTCCTGAGCCCCAGGGCTTTAATTTTTCACTACTTTCTAAGTCTCACTAATTTTTAACCCTTTGGCTTGAGACACCAAGCACCACTTGGTCCCTGGGCCTGCTTGCTCCTGAGCTCAGATCTACTGACCCTTCTTCCTTTTTTTGCTACTGCCACTGTATCTTGGTGTACCTAGTTTTGCTTCAGTGGTCCCTTTTTTTCCTTTTTAACCCTGTTTCTCCATGCTCCACACAAATATTGTCTAGGATTTATTCCCAAATTAAAGGAGAAGGGTATTGATTCAGAAATAATATAACAAATGAGATAGTTACAATCAGTTATAACAAAAATTAATTCCAGGACAGACTTGATTATAATTAACTCTCTGAAATGTTCTCTGGGCTTTACTTGGTCCCCGTGTACTTCTCTCCTCTATAAACCTACCCCATACTCTCTAGGGCCCCAGAAAAGAGGATGACAACACTTGTCTCAGAACCCCACTGCCTATTGGGGATTTTCTTCTGACAGCAGATCCCAGTTGTAATCAGGATGCTTTCTGATTACTGCTCAGTGATCACCTACATTATAATCAGGTCACTAAATATCTCTCCTGTTTCTGCCCAAAGTAGGGGAAGAGGTGATGAAGAACTACCTGTCACTGAAGTGTTTTTCATTTTTGCATGACTCAGAAACAAGACTAATTCAGTATTTCTTTAATATCATCTTGCCCCAGCCAAATTTCACAAAAGACAATCCCTTTCATTCCCGGGATGCCAGAAATATGTGGTACTCGAGTGGGGCTGATGCTTATCCTACTGAGAAAAGGCATAGTGATAGCCAGCTCTTTCCTCCCCAATCCCTCACCCTGGAGGAAAAAGCTGTGTGGCAGAGCTAGTGCCTGTCCCCTCCCCTAGCCCTTGCTTCCTCGTCCCTACCTTTTTAGACATTAGAGCAGGAAAGTCTCTATCTATCTGTGTGTAGACTTTGTTGTTTCCTGACTCCTGAGAGAAGTAGTTATGGCTAACATATGCACAGGGACCTGCTGACATTTTGCTTATCCAGGCTGACACATCATAAACTGAATTGCTTCACAGATGATTCGTGACTACCTACCTGGCAAACACAGGTAGTGAACCTTCTGTCTTTCTCTGGAGCCCTAACGCTGACCTGAGCTTATCAGGATTCCAGGGTAAAAGGAAGGTGAAAAGGACCCCCTACTGTTCACTCAGTGTGGCCTACTTGCTTGGCCATCTCACTAATGGTGGGAAAGTAAAGGAGCAGAATCTCGAGCTATAAACAGGGTAGCTGGATTTTACTCCACGTGAACTGTTTGCTGACTTCCTGGCCAATGCTGGTGGAATTGTTCCTAAATGAAGGACTTGACATTCATTCCTGTTAAATTTAACTTTGCTTCTTGGTCCACTTTGTTGGAATCTTTGTGAATCTCAGCTCTGTTGTTCATGGGTAGCTATGTGCCACCCCGTTTTCTGCCAAGAATTTACATGTTGAAGTGACAGGTCCTCAGATTGCTCTCTGTGGACTGGCTATTGGAACTGTTATCTTTGAGTTTTCATCATTCCCCTTCAGTACCCACATTGCCCTGCTAAGGGGGGTGCGGGGTGGGAGGTGGGGTTGCACACCAGCATATAAGCCTGTGATATCCATGCTCAGGCATGTCGAACTCTTGGGTGTTGAGGACCATTCAAAAGGTTGCTTTTACTGCAGGGGGTGAGAGGAGAGCCAAACCTAGTCTTTTCCTCTAGTGTTTCCTCCTTTCCTGGGGCAGACAGAAATATAGGTCCTTGGTGGCCCTCTTAGAGACTGGTGATGTCCCAGAATTAAACCCCTAGAAGCATCCAAGCCTCCCATACTAGGACTTGTGTGTACCTGGTTCTGACCCTAGGATGTTCTCAGGCTCAAATCTGACCTGTCAGGGGCCACGTCAGTTGTTTTCCATACTCCCAGCCTCCCTTTCATCACCCCCACCGAGAACCCTTAGAGGAAACAGTCTAAAATGGCTATTGCCCCTAGACCTGAGTGGGGGTGGGATCAGGGTAACTGAGGTCCCTGATAAATTTCATTTTATTTTATTTTTTGATCATCATTCCAGCCTGTGAGTTCTTTGGGAATCTTACCTCTGTGGTCCATTGCTACTTTGTTATTCAGCTTCCATTTCACACACATTAAATGCAGGGCAGGACCAAGGCACAATGATTTGGGGGGGGGATATTAAAAATAGAATAAAGACACAGGCCCTGCCCTCAAGTTATGATTTAATAGAGGAAATAAGATGGACACAATTCTAAAAGGAGAGATTTAAGGAGGGGAAGAGTCACTTTCTGTTAGGGGAAATAAAAGGCTTTTTATGGCACCTTAGTTGAATCTTGAGAGTTTTTAACTGGGAATTTTTGTTTTAAGCATGAGGGATGATGTGAGCAAAGGCACAGAGAGGGGAAAAGAAGAGATAAAAACAGGGAATGAGTAGTCTGTCTTAGCTGACAAAGTAGATTATATAAAAGGCAGTAATATGAGATAAGGCCAAGAAAGTATGTAGAAACCAGGTTGTGGAGGGTGTTAAGGACAGGATCAGAGTTTTATACTTCATTAAGTAGGAGAGCAGAAATTGATGAAGTCATTTTTGAACACAGAAGGATGGTTGGGGGAGGGGCAAGATTGGAGACAAGATAAATTGTGTTTGAGGTGTCCATGGGGAACACAGGCCTGGAATCATGGAGATAGGTGAGATCTAGAGGTAGAAATTAGGGAAACGAGGGGCAGCTATGTGGCGCAGTGGATAGAGCACCGACCCTGAAGTCAGGAGGACCTGAGTTCAAATCTGGGTTCAGACCAAACACTTGACACGTATTAGCTGTGTGACCTTGGACCTTAACCCCAATTGCCTCACTAAACAAAAAAAAAAATTAGGGAAACATACAAGTAGCAGATGATGGGTGGGCATTACGGCCCCCAGGAAAGAAGGAAAGACTGCCTTGGGGGACACTCCTGGGATTACTGCTTTAGGTGTTCAGATATTTAGATTGATATTCCTATTGGGTGAGCCACAGTGCAGTGTCTTGGGCCCCAAAGAAAAGTTATAAATTAAGTCTCATCCATAGTCATTGATGCTGTTCATGCTGTTAAAAAGCTGTGTGGACACTGCAGGGAACAGCTGTAAAGCAAGATATTTGAGTGAGTTTGTACAAGTTAACTTCAGTGTCACCTCTCAGCAGTTCACATAACTCCAATTTTGCTTGTTTTTCCTAAGAAGGAAAATGCTTTTCACATATGGGAGGTTGAAATATGATTGGATCAGAGGGAATGGGGACCTAGCAATCTGATTCTTTCAGCCTTTCTCACCCCACACTGCTGTTCAGCTTCTTAGCCTGGCATTCAAGACTCCATTCGATCATGCTTTCACACTTACTGTGCAGTCTTGTTAGATGACCACAGATGGTGTGCTCAGTGCTTCAGACAATCTGGACTACTTGCCATTCTTCCCTCAACCCTCGTCCAGCTTTGTCTTGCTTCTGTGGTTTGGCTTATGTCATTTCCTGTCTCTGTCCCAGTCCCCAATCATCTCTGTTTAAAGCTTATGTAGCCCTTTAAAGTCCAGCTCAAAGGCTGTCTCCCCCAGGCCACAAAGCTTCTCCCTTGCTCCCTAAACCCATTGCTTGCACCACCTGTCATGCACTTAGGAACACAGAATGTTTAGTCTTATAGTTATTTGTGTGTGATGCATCCCCTTGCTAGATTGTGAGCTCCATGAGGGCAGAAATTATATCTTACCTAATCTTTTGTCTCCCCTCAACCCAGGCACAGTGTTCTGCTTATAGAGGGCCCTTGTTAAATGTTTGTTAGAAGCTTACTATTAAGTAAGGAGGTAGTGGAGGAACACCTAACTGTAAAAAGAGTTTAAATGCTGCTGAGATTGTGAAGATGGCAAAGTCAACTAGAGCTGCCAACTAAAGGGAATACAGAGGAACTTGGAGAAGGTGGTTGCCCAGAAGCAGCAAGATAAGAAAATACCAAGGCCGGCAAAACATCTGGACTTGACAAGAACTATTTGTTTAGCTCCACAACTTGTTTATCTCAGTACCAAACTCCTCACCTTCTGCTCATCCCCTGCCTGTTGTACTGCTTCCTCTTTGGCTGTGCCTTCCCTTTAGCTCCCCAGCCTGGATTCCCAGTTACTGAATGTCTTCAGTGGAAGAGGTTCTCCTCCCCCTGGCCTTGGGGCCTCTGGACTGGGAAGGCTCCAGTTTTCACCATGGAGCCTGTTTCATCATGTGCCAAGACACTTGAAAGAACTTGGTTTGTCACAGGGGAATAGCTGTCAGTGGCTGGGGGATCCTGGTGAGTGGGAGAGGTGCCCTGGATCTGGAAATGAGTGTATGCTGTCCCCTTGTGCTCTGTCAGGCCTTGGAGACGGAGGGCCAGGGCTGCTTGGTAGTGTTGTCTAGATTGTGTGACCTCCAGAAGAGCAGTGACTGTGTCTTATCCAACCTATGTATCTCCCTCAGCGCTGAACCCTGGTGCTCTGCGCTTAATAAATGTTTGTCAAAGTTGAAGTTTGCCAAAGAGTCATGCTAGCACCTGCCCAGGGAGGCCAGGACTAGGTTCCATTTTTTTTTTAATGACTGAATTTGGAGTCCTATGACCTTCATTTGATCTCATCTCTGCCAATTACTAGGGAACACCTTGAAAGAGCCCCTCCCCCTTTCCAGTCCTCAAGTTTGCCTATATACAATGAGGGGTTTGGGCTAACCATGGTCTATATGGTCCTAATTCACAAGCTATATGGTACTCCTTTGTCCACTCTGACTGATGAGATGTCCCACAGAGTGCCCAGGATAGAGGAACCCGAACAACCAAGATAGGTGTTGGGGAAGATTTTCTTTTTCCTCATAGCCCAGGTGCTCCTTGGGCCTCTGACTCTGGGCTGTGGTTGGCACTTTTATATGCTCAAGCAGTACTTGGGCACATAGATCTCAGGCTGGAAGAAATCATCCAGTCTAATCTCATTTTCCAGTTAAGGAAATTGTGACCCAGAGGTGGCGACTTGCCTAAGGTCACACAGTGACAACTAGAATTTTAACTCAGGTCCCCTGACTGCAAGTCTAGCTCTCTCCCTTAAAAGGTCTGGAATGAGGAATTCTTGGGGATTTCCTTTGATGTCAGTCATAGCTATTGGGAGAGGTACGGATGTATGTTTGGGGGGTGGGGTGTGGACAAGGCTCCTTTTATCGTTGGAGAGGAACAGATTTCCCAAGAGTGGAGTTACCACCTCTGCTGAAACCTGGGCTGTATCCTGGGGTCTGTCTTTGAGCCCCCAGAGGGAAGGGAGTATCTGATCTGAGGAATCTCCAGTTTACCCTAAATACCCCCACAAACCTCTAGCCACATGGAAGGTGGACAGAAGATGGTTCTTAACCCCATCTCCTGCAGGCAGGCTTCCTTGGTTAGGCGTATAGAGATGTTTCACCCCCAGCAGTGCAGGGCAGGGACAGCAGCAATGCGTTCTCTCTGGACCAAGAAACTGGCCCATAGACTTAAAAGGAGGAAGTAGACCCCAGCATGAATAAGCAGGACCAGGAGAGGTCTATGCAGCTCTGATATGCCCTCGGGAATGAGACTCCTTGGGCCAGCCTATGAGTTATCTTTCAGTGTGTCCATTAGCACTGAATTCTGAATCACAAGATCTTGACTGAAATTCTTGTTCGATTTACTTTCTGTATGATCTTGGGCTAATCATTTCTCTCTGGGCCTCTCCTAAAATGGGTCCATGAGCTTATTTAAATTTTTAAAAATAATTTTAATATAATTGTTTTCCTTTGTAAATCGTATGTATTTTTTATTTTATTTATTTATTTATTTATTTTTAGGGCAGTTGGGGTTAAGTGACTTGCCCAGGGTCACACAGCTAGTAAGTGTGTCAAGTGTTTGGTCTGAGGCCGGATTTGAACTCAGGTCCTCCTGACTCCAGGGCTGGTGCTCTATCTACTTTTTTTATTCTTAAAAAAAAAAAAAAAAAACATTCTTGGAACAGGTCCATAGGTTTCACCAGACTAACAAAGAGGGGGCTTTGATCCAGGGTTAAGAACTCCTGCACAGAAATGAGGTGGGTGGGCTACATAATCCCATAGGGCCCTTTAAACTTGAAATATTATGACCCTTCAGTCTTGGAAGCAGTCCTTGCTGTCTGTATATGTTAGGCTGATCTAGGCAACTAGAACCAGGGGGCTGTGCAGGGTCCTATAGTTCATTCAGTGACAGGCCTATGAATGAGATCCTTGGACATTCCTATTTCTCTGTAGAAGTTAAAAATACTGGGATTGCAGTAATAGAGACTGCCCTGAGGGATGGAAATTACAGAATCTCTAACCTAGAATCTCCTCTACAACACCCCCATGTCAACACCCAGCCTTCATTTGAAGACCACGAGAGAGGCGGCACCTACCATGTCCATAAGCAGCCCATTCCACTTTGGATCACTAATATTTGGTGTAGTATTCCAGTCCACAGGGCCTGAATTTGTGCATGTACATCTTTCAGTGATTGCTTCTAGTGCTACTTTTTGGGATCAAGCAGAGTAAGTCAAATACCTCTTCCACATAGCCCTGTGTACTTGAAGACAGCTATTGTGAGTCTCTTTTAGTTTAAATATCCCTTAATCACATGGCATGGATCCTTTGAACACTCCAGGTTTAACAGTTTTCCTAAAATGTGGCATCTAAAACCCAAGACAATACTTCAGATGCAATCTGACAGGACTAATTGTTCTAGGCACTATTCCTCTTAGTGTATGTATATGCATCTAAAGAGTCAATGATGAAAATGGTGGACTGATCTAGGACACTAGAACCAGTGGGGTTGGAACAATGCATAATTGGGCCATAAGCACATGATCAAAGACAGTTCCATGGGGCACTCCAATGGGGCTTTTGCAAGTTGACAGAATCATTAATGATTATTCTTTGGGTTCAGTTGTTCTGAATCCACCTTATTGTATAACATGCTAGTCCACATATCTCCAGCCTCCTGGGGCTCAAACCACCTTGCCTACCCGGACCACGAGGTTGCCACTGCTGTTCCTGGCATACCCATCTCTATCAACCCCAGGGTTACTACAGCAGGCAACAAGATTGGAAGACCAGGCAATAAGACCGTGATGCAAAACCCTATGGAGAACATATTGCTCACCTCCCTGGATCTCTTATCCTCTGAATTTTTGGTTTCATTATTCAGTAGCCAATTTTCATCCCCTTTTGCTCTCCCAGTGCTTTTGTTACTGAATCCCAGACTACCAAAGAAAGAGC